GAACAGTGTTTGAAAGGGCCCTGCACTAACTGAAGCTGATCTCCCTACTGAAGCCTAGGGCTGTTCATAAGAAGGCCCAACCCGACCAACCCAGACCGACCCAACCCGACTCGGCCGGGTTATCTTCAGCATGGGTCGGTTTTGGGTTGTAAAACATCATAAACCGATGGTTCGGGTCAGTTTCGGTTTTCTTGTGTGAAAACCAAAATCGACCCAAACCGAACCGACTAATTGTCCCTTTATGAAGTTTAAATTAATTAAGCCCCATAACTAATTGTCCCTCTTCAAATCTATTACATTGGCTAGATTAATGATTGTAATTAACTGTCCTGAAGTCTCCCTATAGAATTCACCCAAATCCCAATTAAGACAATTAAACTTCAAAATGAATATATAATCAAAGGGATAGGTTGGTGGTTTTGGAGATAAAAATTAATTACTGAAAAGATATATAACATATGTACCTCTATAATAGGCATTATTATTATATATGGGTTTTGCTCTTTTTCTCCTCTCCAAAGTCCAAACTGTGGACTAGAGGTATATCCTGTTTATAAAAAATAAGGCTTTTCCCGCATTCACTACCTCACATATTGTGGTGCCACAGTCTCCACATATATATTGCAGTTGAGTTTCTGTCAAGCATGGTTGAACTTAAAGCCGAAACCGACCCAACCTGACTCAAACCGACTAGGTCGATTTTGCTTGACACTGGGTCGATTTCGGTTTCAAGTTCAAGTAACCTGACCAGATCGGATCGGTTGGAAAAACCTTAAACCTACCCAAGCCGACCCGTGAACAGCCCAAGTGAAGCCGAACTCATTAGGAGATCGTTAGTTAGAATGTTGATTTAATTGAGTTTCTTAAGACGATGAGCCGCGTAATTATAGCTTCCGGTGCAACGCGCAATTAAGCCGCGTAAAAGAGTGTTGAAGCCTTATATATATGATCTCTTGCTGATCAGATCATCTTCTCAAGGCTAACTGCCCAAGCAACCGCAACCGACAGTTAGATAATATACCACTACTCTTCAGTAGTCTCTCTCTGGTACTTGTTCCGATTTGCTTTCTGTCACCTCCTCCGGATCCGGCAATGGTCACCATGGTTGCACCGGCTGTGCGATGTGCCCTAGACGCTGCGGAAGAAAGGTTCAAGGCCCAGGACGTAGAAGGCGCGATCAAGCACGCCAACGCCGCCAAACAGCTTCATCCCCATTCTGAGGGCATCGATCAGTTGCTCGCTGCTTACAGCGTCCATCTGGTTGCTACAGAACGGCGACATGGATTGGTACGCGCTTCTTAACATCGCCGATGCTGCATCTGCGGACACCGAGACGATCAAGAGACAATACAAGAGGATGTCTCTCATGGTTTACCCCGACAAGAACAGCTCTGTTGCTGCTAAGGGCGCCTTCAAGCTTATCTCTGAAGCGTAGAGCGTCTTAACCCAACCCACCAAGAGGCGCAAGTATGATATTTGATCGGGTACCTACGCCCATGCACATTCAACTCCATCTGCCGCTGCTCAACCTGCAGCGGCTGAGGCTTCTGGTTCTAGTTTTTCGACGATGACGACGACGAATGCAGCTTCCACAGCAGAGATCAAGCCGTGCCCTTGTTGCAGTAAGCCAGTGAGTGATGAAAAGGCCAACAACGGGTTCTTCTCTATTGTGTGCCGGGATTGTGGTTTCAGTTTCAAGTACGTGAGCCCAGAATTCTACGAGTTGAGTACCAAGCGCAAGCCCGTGACCTTCTCTTACACTCTATACGGATGAAGGAAAAGAGATCGAGATTGGAATTTTCTGATGATACTTGGATGTTCACTCATTCATTTTTTCTTTCCTTCATAAAATTTACTCTGCTGATCATCATTTTCTCAAAAACAAATAAACGATTATATTTTGTCAGTATTCGAGCTTTCATCTTATCAGTTTAGGGTCTATATGCTAGAATTTTTGGTACTAGGTTTATATGTTTGATTGGGAATGTTTTTACTGATTGATTTGTTTATTTTTATCAGTGCATTTATGTAAGGGGTGAGTTTACAAAGCTCTATTCGGACTGAAAATGTCATCAAAGGAAACCTCTACTTTAGGCTTTGTTTGTTTTTGAAAGAAAGCCAAAAGGGTCAAGCTAGCCACCTCCATATGGATTATGGGCAAGTATATCAACCCTAGAAGCCAAAACAGTTCATGAGAGTGATATGCATGAACTCCATTGCTTCCTGAGGACCGGCTGACTCAATGCCAAAATATTGCTTCCCTAGCAACATTCTTGTCACATTGTTCATGGTCACGGAAGACTTGCCTCAAGTTAACAGGCTTCCCGGTTTGAGACCGATCATATACATCTTGATTCTTGAACGAGATGGTGAGCTTCGCGAGCACGTACGATGATCCGCAAATGACTCGAGCCGCTTGATGCTCAGTAGGTGCTCCATGCATATTCTCTTCCACTGTGGGACTGTGGCCCTAATGGAGCCAATGCTACATCCCAAGTCGAAGATAGACCAACTTAACGGTCCATTCATACTTCTCACAGAAGGAAGCTAAGCAAGGTCCCTGTGTGGGAGGGGGCCCAATTGAAGAAGGTTGCCAAAGATAGGCCATCTTGGTGGGCCTGGAGGCAGCCTTCCCTTGCTCTGCAATGACTTCATGCATCAGCCATAGTCTCAGGCAAACGATTGTGCCAAAGAGAAAGGCATAGACAAGAGTGGAGGCTAATGTGCCTAAATCCATCTGACCAACAAACAAACAATATTCATGGAGATTTTCATTTTCTGCACTCTCAAGCTGATGAAAAATGTCAATAGCTCTTATTTATTAGTGAGAATATCATAATCTGGGCATGTTTGAGCTTAATTCTCTGCACCTATTTAGGATAAGAACAGTTCAGTTCAATAAAGATAACAGGTCCCTGTTATGTGGTCTAGGGTTTACTAAACATCCATCAATTGGGGTTGACAGGTTCTACTTGGCCAAATAAATGGTTTTTTAACACCGGGTTAATTAGCTGGTGCAGATTGTGGTTGGTAGGACAAATACACGGTTCCTCAATCCTCATGTGCTTGTAGTTGTAGCTAACAATATTTATGCAAATTCATTTAAATTTGTCCCTCCTTTCATTTTTATTTTTCCGCACCCGTCCCGATCCTCGACCCGGGTCTGGTTCAATTTGCTGATTATCAATAGAGTTGATTCTTGCTTGGTCTACATTTTAAGTTGATAGGGTCAGGACTGGTTTTATACGTGCTGACCAGCACATGACATAAATATCTCCCCAACATTTTCTATATGTTTCTCATGGTTTAGTCATTGAGTGTGCGAGGTCCATTAAGCAGTACTATACATGTTATGTCATTCGAGCATGTGATTCATACAACCCGAAAATGGAACCATTATGGCCACCGGTTTTTGTGTCAACGGTTCAACTGTCCAATTTGAATGGGCGGTCTGTTCTAACAACAAAAATTAAAAAATAAAAGAAAAATAACCAAAAACCATTGAATGGGTCGATGGTTCGACCGCCCGGGTCAATGAGTCATTGATCGATTCAATAGTTTTTGGCTAGGGACCGGGATTGGAATAAAACGGAACCGGTTGCCTAGACGGTTCCCAATTAAAAAATAAAAAATGGTCAAAACCATTGAACGGGTCAATGGGTTGATAGTTTGACCGCCCGGGTCAATGGGTCGTTGATCGATTCAATGGTTTTTGGCCAGGGACCGGGATTGGGGTAAAACGGAAATGGTTGTTTGGACGGTTCCTGGGCTGAAATGTTTAGCTCCATCTCAAAGTGGAACTTTGGACTTGATTTTCTATTTTTTTTTCCTTGGCTTTTCCAATTTGATAGATTTACCACCATTTTTTTGTGTGTTGTGTTTAAGGTCACTTTTGATTTATCTTTCAAGGTTTTGGAATCCCTTGCAATGTCCAGCCGTCCCATGGCTATGACTACAAAGTTATTTCGTCTAACTATTGACATCTAGAAAAAACCACCCGGAAACGGAATCGTTCTGGCCACTGGTTTTTAGGTTCACGGTTCGACCGTCTGGTTCGAACGAATGGCCTGTTCTAACATCAAAAAGTAAAAAAATAAAAAATAGCCAAAACTGTTGAACGGGTCGATAGATTAACGGTTCAATCACCCAGGTCAACGGGTTGTTGACTGATTCAACGATTTTTGGCCAAGGACTGGGTTTGGGGTAAAATGGAACCAATTGCCTGGATGGTTCTCAGGCCGAACATTCCTATTGTCTGGGTCAACTGGGAGTTGTCGATGTGAAACAAAGGACAACTATGAAGTAGAACTTAGAACTATCACTATATGATCGTATTATTTTATATAAGATGCTTTGCTGAAGCAATATTTAAAAAACGAGCATATGCTGATCTCTTTTAAGTCTTTATATAAATTTCAAGACTTGAATACTTATAATTACAAGTTTATTATTAAGAAATCATTTTCTTTTATAATGTAGCAAATAGAAATATTGCAATTTCATTACAGCCCTACGAAGCAGGGGCCCCTCTGCTTGTTCCGTAAAAAATACCAAAGGCTTGCAAGCATATTCAGCTCTTACCTGGTCAGATCTGATAAACTCAGGTAATAATAGGGTTTTTTACGCTTAAAACTTACAAAACTTCAAAGTCTAGGTTGGACCGGGTTTGTGTGCTTTCTTATTGGTTTATGATTGGATCTACCCTGATCCAGCCCAGACTTACCCTAATGACTGTATCTCCCCTCTCGCTCTGTGTGGCTCTTCATGGGCCGGGCCATGCCAAGCTTTGAAAACGTTGGGACTTGAACCCGAGCTAAGCCCTCATATAAAGCCCAAAATCTGGTCTGGACATAAAGAATCCTAGTACGTAGGAGGGGTGTAATTTCAGATTTCTACTGCAGTCTATTTATCACTTTTTTTTTTTAATGGAAGGATTAATTTGTAAAATTTATCAAAAGTAGGGGAGAGTGTTGAAGATGCAAGGAAGGTTTAAAGCAGTTGTCACAGAATACAGGGGAGATTTAAATAATTTACCCTTTCAAATAACACAGTGATTCAGTGGCTAGAACCCTCGGCCGGAAGACCTCAGTTTCTGACATCGCAGCTCGCAGGCGGGGCCTGTAACTGTAAGCAATGGAGGAAGATCTTTCGAACACCAAAGAGATGTCGGGTAAAATTCTAGATACGATTGCTCAGAAGAAACACGCAGCGATGATCGAACGCCTCTCCAACCTCCACCAGTCTCGTCTCCAGCAGTCCATATCTCGTAAGTCCGATTCCAACGGTCCATCTCCTTTTGAATCAACAAAATCCTTCTTAGATCGCTTCTCTGAAGCTAAACGGTCGATTCAGAACGAACTCGATCGTTGTCGACAGGTTTCCGACCCTGATTCGAAAGCTCGTTTAAAATCTGAGCTTGAGAAAATATCAGTCTCCATTTCCGATCTTGAGAGGCTCGTCTCTGAGAATTCCTACTACTTGCCCTCCTATGAAGTCCGTTCGTCTCTGAAAACAATATCTGAATTGAAGGAAAGTTTAGATAATGTGAATTCTGAGGTATTGCCAAAAAAGAAGTTTGCTTTCAAGAATAAAGCGACAAAGAAAGATCAAACTAGTGTGGCTCAAGGCCCTGATGTTAGGGTTTCTGATAAGGTTGTAGCCGAAAAGTCGAATTTTCAGATTCGGGAATCTCCGGGGTTTAGGAATAGGGAGGGTGGGATTTTGGTTAAGCATTTTAAGAGTTCGGAAGAGGGAGATTTCACCCTTTCTGATCTTAACTCCTGTGAAGTTCGCCTAACAGGTGTCCTTAGAGCGCTCTTCATTCATCGCTTGAGGAACTGTCGGGTTTTTGTTGGGCCTGTTCTGGGTTCAATTCTAATCGAAGAAGTTGACAGGTGTCTCTTCATGTTAGCATCTCATCAAATTAGGATTCACCATGCTAGGGAGACGGATTTCTATCTCCGCGTTAGAAGTAGGCCCATTATCGAAGACAGCAGCAGTGTGAGGTTCGCTCCCTACCTTTTGTTTTATGAAGGGATCGAAAAGGATCTTAACGATTCAATTCTTGATGGAGAGACTGGAAATTGGGCCAATGTGGATGATTTCCGGTGGTTGCGAGCCATCCAATCTCCTAATTGGTCCATTTTGCCTGATGATGAGCGTGTTTCTACGGTAAATATTTCCAATTCGGAGACTCCAAGCCAAAGCGAAGAGATTTAGTATTTTCCCCTGGTCTTCTTCGGAGTAGTAAATTGCAGAGGATAAAGGACAAGCTATGCTAACCAAACTGCAAAGCAGGTAATTGTGTTTATTTGTATGTGGTATTGAAGTGAATCAGAATGTGAAGCTTGAAACAGTTTTAAGTGTCCTGCATTTTTTGTTGCATTTCTCATGTATGAACATTTATTCAATTTTTTATGAACGTAAGGGAAAGGAATTCTGTGCCTGTGTTATATACTATCTAGCTGGTATCAAGAAATATTATTTGTCTTTCTCTTGCTTTTGATGTTATTGTGGATCTGGGTGGTTGTTACCAATTACAACTTGCCAGGGCAGGTCGGTGATGGGGAAAAGGTTTTGAGTCTTATACAAGTTAAGAATTTTGGACATCTTGGGAACAATAAGGAGTTTGATATAGTCATACCAACTACCAACAACCTCATAGCTGCTATCTGACGAGACCGGATCTGCTCCTCACACCTGACGCCTCACACGCAATCCCACCATGCATTTGGAGCATCTCCCATACTTATCAATTATTATTCACCGGAGATGTTCTCAATGCACGGTGGATGTGCATGTGAGGCGCCCATTTGCGAGGAGCAGATCCCGTCTCCTATCTGACAGTTACAACGATGAATTGTCTGGGTTTAGTCCATGAATGCAGCAAGTTATTGTTGCTAACTTGTTATCATGTGCAGTGTATCTGTACCTATATCCATGCTTATTTTTTTACCTACCATAACTAATAAGGGCTGTACTATTATACTTGAAAAACTTGTAACCAATGAACCAGTATAATAAAAGTCTAACCAATCAAGTGGTATTTATCAAAATTCATGGGTGGTTTTGGTAGGTCAAAGCCCTTCCAGTATCATGTCTTTCTGGTAGCATAGATTTTCCCTACTAATAAATATCAAACTCTTCAATGTTTCATCCTTTTTTCTTGAAATTCTAAACTATTCTATTTTAATAACGAACAACAAAAATATATTCAGGTAGTTTGAAAGATATGTTTCTAAATTCTATGAAAGCCGTTTCTATTTTTTTATTGTTTTCCAATGCCAATTTAAGTGAAGGAATCCAAATATTAGATAAATTCCATTAGGGGTTTATGTAATTTGAATAATTTCTGTTCTAAATTATTATTAGAAACTTAAGCAACGAAGACTGAAAAAGATATTAAGTTTTTTTTTGGTAAAGGAGGAGTATCTTTGTTCAATATTAATATAACCATCCTCACCTACTAGAAGAAAAAAAAGGTTCATTTGGAATCATCATATCCTCCCCAATGTTTCCTTCAAGTGGGGCATAATATGTGGACAAGATCCTGATGATGCCATTTGATTCTGACGAAGCAGATAATCAATATTGTACTTCATGCAAAAAATAATTCAAATGATCAAATCTTCTGATCTATTATACTTTTGTCCACAGTGATCTGACATTTTTCTTGGGATTTCTTAATAGATCTGACTATCACTATTTCCTGAAAGACCTACTCCGTACTAACTTTTAAATGGATTCAAGCTTGAACCTATCCAAAACCCTTGGGACAAATCCCCCCCC